TTCAGAATTAATAAGTTGTGGCATAGTCTGTGAGTCATTTCCTTGCTGAACTATTTTTTTTAACTCATCACATTTACTCATGGAGTAGTTATCTTGAAGGCAGTAGACAGGGAGTTTGTTTCCCCTAGCAAATTTAAAGAGACATTAATATCTTGTAAGACCACGTCCCAGATGATTCACTGATAACCTCTTACAAGTGTTTACAGAATGGAGTTTGTGTAACACCACCATAGCTAACAAACTACATCATGACACAGGAAAAGAAAAACAACAGAAAATATTTATTGACATAGTATGTGCATTGTATAATATATTCATATAGCAAAGGTTTGCATTGATTTTTCCAAATGAGTTGTCATTTTGTGCTGCTAAAAATATTATAAAAACACATTTTTTGAAGTTTGTTGTCAGTCTTTAAAAAGTTAAGAATGTTAAAGTATCATCAAAACTACCTCTGGAGGTTTGTAACCTAAATGCTATCTCACACTCTGAGTAAAAGGCTGGTGCAACAGGGATTCAAATATACTTCCAAATCCTTTGAGACTAGTGTGCAATTTTAAGCTTTCAATTTAACAATATTCGGTTTTTTTTTCTCCCATTCATTCTTTAATCCAGGAATTTGTAGATGAAAGTATCTGCAATATTCTGTGCTTTGAAATTAGAAGCAGTTGCTTAAATTTCTACAAAGATACCGAACACAAACAGAAGGTATTTGAAAAAATCTATAGGCTAGATTTTGTAGATACATGCAAAATGGAGCCAACATTTAAATGCTTCAAGTCTGAGATTTTTTGTTTGTTCAGGATTTTTTTTTTGTTTGAGTTTTTTTTCCCAATGGGGAACAGCCTTTACAGGAATCCCAACAAAATGTCAGGTTTGAGAAAAATTCAAGTGAAAGAAACTCCCTTTACTCACTATACTCTTGGTGACCCGGTGTGCTGGGAGGTTCACACTGCCAAGCCTCTTTTGGCCACGATACGGATCTGTTGCTTCCCAAGGACCTTAAATAAGCACAAGCGTAATCCCTGTGACTTCGGGCAGGGATTGTAGACCAGGGTCTGCTAGTGGTCCCTGCCAGAACCTGAGCCCTCTCACAGCCCTTTCCTTGGTGCTGTTGGCTGGGAAGAACAGCCTCATCTTCAAAGGCGAAAGGAGATTGTGCATGTAACTTGTGATTTTTACCTCGTAGTTTATACCATTATGCCTTTACCAGCTGCCAACTCTTTCTTACAATAGGTCCCTCTGCTACCTCGCAACGATTTCATCTGTTACTTTTCACACTTTCTTTATCCCTTGCGTACCACCTCTGTCTTCCCAGTCTTCGGTACCATCTAGTTCTCTTGCTCTCTCTTTCTCTATTTGCTGTTTGCTGCTAGGTCATCCCTTATCAGCAGAATAGGAGGAACTCCCCAGCTGCTTCTCTCCTCCACATGCAGAAGAATTTTTTTTTTTTTTTACTTAAGCCATATTCTGTGCTGATTCATGCTCCATACAAACGCATAAATCTGCAAAATTTGGATGGTAAGTTATAAACTTAGTCAAGGAGTTTCTTTAAGCAATTTTTAAAGCACTGGGTACTCTATACCTCACATAACAGAAATAATTGTGCTGCCTAACATTGTGGTTTTGTTTTGTTAAGATAATACAAACTTAGACTTAATTTTTCACATTGCAGATAATCCCCTTGACTTCCATCCTATGTCTCAGAGTCCCAAATTAAACGCATTCACAAATGCCTTGCAGAGGCTGGTCTGGGTATAGCGGTCTGTATACGAGGTTTATCTTTGGCCCGGGCAAAACTTGTTAACTTTACAAATTGCCAGTAGCCCTCTAGCAGAAAAGGAATTTGACTGAATTTGTTTCTTCCTAAAGTCAGGAATATAGTTAAAGAAAACGATACTATAGCAACTCTTAAGGAAAAGCATTAGTACTGATGCAAACAAATGATGTACAGCCTGATACTTGAAAGAGGGAAAAATCCTTTGGAGAAACATCACAGGGGCTCTGTCCCCTTCTGGGCTGGGAACCTAGCCTTGATGCTGGTATCCTACACAAACGCAAATCTGATCTACTAAGAACACCCCCTAAATTGCAGTTTTTTAAAGGAAATCTGAGATGATCACAGCTCAGAAATTCTTGTCCTATTTGCAGTGACCGGTACCAAGAACTCTACATGAGACATCGGCCTCCTGGGGTTGTGTGTAGGTACTTGATTTATGAACTATTTCAGAAGTCCCTGTAGTAAGCAGTCACAACGCTTGCATAAAGCATTTCCTTCTCTGTTAGGCCAAGCGGAGGACTGAAACGTTGCCTGGCATGCGGATACAACAGGAATAACATTTTGTCCATGTCTTCTTGTGCCTGCATTCCCTTGTCTGAAGGTGCTGACCAGGTCAAACCAGCACATGCTCTGCCAGCCCATATATTTGCATGTGTTTGTGCATGTGCACTCAGTCACAGAGGCTTGAACATATATATAGTTTCGATTAATTTTTATGTTGCTATGGCCAGCCTTTTTTAATCTCTTACTACCATAAAATCAGGCATGAGCACTTAATATTTATCCTCTGAGGATAAACATTTGTTACCAGCCTAGCATGAGAACATCAGGTCGTGGCTGAGGTACTTATAGCAGATGATTATTATAGCAAGACCATTTGAAAGATGACATCAACATTTTTCATTCTTAGCTTGTCCTTGATTCCCAAACTAATAAAGAAATAGATTATATTTCTGCTCCTAAGGAGTACATCTAAATAAGACTCACCAATAAGGAATTGACTAAGCCACCTTAGCTTGATCAGTTTTGGACCCAAACCAACAATGAGAATAATTATAACAAAATCCATGGACCTAGGTTGATTTGTGTTTTCTTAATGATACGATACCTTATATGTCACATTTACTATGGGAAAAGGCACTTAAATAAAACATTACAGAGCCAACTAAAGAATATTGTAGGCCTGTTGCATAGAGCAAGAGTATTAAATACTGGACTGAGGTGATTTAAAATTACTGTCAGCTAAGCCATACGTCTTAATAGAGATGATAACAACAATAAAAAATAATTAACCTTAAAATCTCAGACATTAATTTCTAAACTTTAAAAATTATTATTAGTTTTCCGCAATCACACAAAATAAAATCTAAAAAAAAATAAGAAAAGTTAGGTGTTCCCTGGAAAGGCTGACATTAAAAGAAATAGTTTCTTTTAAAGTGATATGTCTTCCAATTAATGAGTTATGGTATGGAAGCAAGTCTTAAATTTTTATGCTTTGGCAATAATGTGACAAAGTAAGTTGCCTGCACATTCAAAGTGTCAGGTTTCATACTTTCAATCATCTACAAGAAAGTGGGTTACTAAAAATGACCTTATTTCATCAAAAGGTATTACAAACATATTTTAAAGATACCAACAAACAAACAGTATTTTAAAATCTTGTTACGTTTTTTTCTTCTGCACAGGAAGAAAGTGTATTTTGGTCAGTGTAAACTTAGGATAAAAAAAATGAAATATTGTGGTCGTGAATAATCTTAAAGGTGTTGAAACCCAAAGGATATGATCAGAAATAGAGAGTATCATTTTACATTATTAGGTTAACACAACACCATAACAATCCTGTGCACTTCAAAATCTTCATATAAAATAAGAGATAGAGACTTGTGTAGCAATCAGCAACAATTTTTGAAAAGGTGATTTGTGTTTAAAGGTGTGTAAAAGTGAAGTTCACTTTGTGTTTTCATTAAATATATGGTTCAGCAAACATATTGAACCAAATTATTTGCTAACTACTGCTACCTAACAAGATATATGTTATAACGTAAAGGATAGAGGATAGTTCTTCTACCATTTAGAACGTGGTATAACTTAGTTGGGAGAAATTTTTAGTTTAACCTTGTAACTCATGTTGAGGTGGAGTCTGAACACAAAGTGATTAAAACTACCCATTTTGCAAAATCATATAAAGCCAAACTAAAATATAGCTTTCCAACTCCCAGTCTAATACATACGATCCTATCTATGAAGCTGAACTCATGTAAAAGTAATTTATAAAAACTGCAAAAATGGTTAGCACCCAAAAGATCTATCATCTGGGAAGCTCTAAATGATTGTCAAATAGCCACTTCAGAAGTCAGAGACTTCTCTCAATGGTACAGCTAAGCATTTGACTAGAAACTAAACCTACAGCTCTCCAAACACTAACTGGAAAGCAAATGCATGTGTTTAAAGACTTCTATAGCTTCTCAAAGAAGATTTAAAGGCATTAAATTATGTCCTGATGTTCCTTCTTCTTCCAAACATGGAAACTTCTATGCTGATTAATTTCTTTTTGCTGTTTTTACTGAGCAAAGAAATGAAACTTGTCTTTAAGGTCTCACCCTCAGCTACAGAAAATTGAGATTTCCATGAAAGTCTTCCTGCAGCAACGAGAGGAGGAAGTTTTCCAAACTAACAAGCATGAACTTGACTGCTGCTTCTCAACATGGAGCTGTGGTCTTCAGAGAATGCCAAAAAACTGTCTTGGTCTCAAGCAGTTCTCTGGACCATTCTGCACATACAGTAATGTGCTGTATGCACAACTTGCATTTGAAGAATTGGAACAGAACCCTGAGAAAAGCAAATTCATTGGAAAAATAGATATTATTTAATAATATCAGTTTGAGATGTTTCAATCCTTCCCTTGGAAAAAAAAAGACAAACAGATGTAGTCTTTTTTTTTTTTTTCTGATGTGAATGATTTGAATTTATCACAATTGCAAACATAAATATAGTTTGGGATTTTAAGAGCATATCTAGGGTTGATTACAATTAGAAATATTTTGTTTAACAATTCTAGCCATCCCCCAGCAATTCAGCATCCCTCAAGTCACCATAACATTACTTGTGAACTTTGAGTTCAAAAACATCCTGACGTGGAGTGATGTTCTTCCAGTAACTGCTGCAGCAGACTTTCGCTCTATGGTAATACTGGTGCTAAGCGAGTCAGGTTCTGCTGTCTTCAGCCTTGTGTGCAATTCTCATCATTCCCATGTATCCAGAAGCAAATTTGGGCATATTTGAGAGGAGTAATTCTTACTGCTACATTGTAATCCTGCTGTTCACCATTGACATCCACCCACTGATGGCCTGAGTAAACAGCGATGATCTTGCGTTTCCACTTCTTTTTGTTTGGCTCCTTAAGACGAAGATAGACACCAGAACCAGTGGAGCCGGGCTCAGCATCACAGTACTGATAAAAGAGATCATTGGACTCATCAGAAATGCTACAAAATCTATAGACCAGTTGTCCAGATCGATCATTGTCAAAACCTGAGAAATGGATCATGCTCCCAGGCATCATTTTGATTGTTGGGCTGATTCCCAGCTCCATATATTTCCTTTTGTGGGGACGCTTGAGCTCAAGAACAGCATAATCATAATCCAGGGCAATATCCTCAGAGACACCTTTGAACCAGCCTTTTGGGATATGGGTACTCTTCACCCTGGTCCACTGGAAGGAGGGCATGCCATCTGAGGTCTCCTGCTTCCTCCCAGATCTCCTCTGCTTTCTCCCACCACCTTTGGATTGTCGCCTTAGTTCTGTGGCAACTTTGGGATCCTCTTGGGCCGCAGAAACTTCTCTCCTACTTCTTTTAGCACCTTTGCGTTTCCTGCCGTCACCTCTGGATTTTGTCTTCATTAGGCCCACCCTCAGTCTTTTGCTGCCCTTAACGTAATCTTTGCCGTTGTGGAGACAGTGGGCAGCTGTTAGCACGTGCTTGGGGGATATGAGAATGCCACTACAGCCAGTGGAGACCTTCACAGCTGTGTTGAACGGAAAGTTGGTCATAAATCGCTTGTCATAGATGCTGAACCTGCTATCTGTTCCATATATCTGCCTCTTCTTTCTCGAAGACCTTCGCGTGGTTGTGTTTCCAGCTGGATCAAGCGCTAGTCCGAGGACATTCACTTCAGTCAGGATCCTTGTGCCGTTTTCAAAAACAGTCTCATAGGATAAGAGGTCCTTCAAGTCAGACAAGCTCGGTACTGGCAATTTCCTTTGACATTCAATTCCACATACACTGTTCAGCTCTAATTTGGTTTTTGCTTCAAATTTAGGGCTGTCAAGGGAGAAAGTCCTTTCGCTCACAATCTGGGGAATCTTCTTTAAGTGCCAAGTAAAATCTTGTTCAGTTTCTGTTCCAGTAGTGGGACCCAATATAGGTATGAAACATATGAATAGCAGTAACATGTGCTCCATTTTATCTATTTTTTTTTCTAAAACAAGAAAGAGAGATTTGAAAACACGCATTGGAAATATACACAGTTATCTTAGAGTCTTCGAAGTATAATCATGCAATATTAGCACTGACATCAGTGGAACAGAATTTAACACTCTGCTCGAAATAGAAACGCCTCAGATATTCCCTGTATTGCCTCTGATGCTTCCAACTGTCTATAGCAAGATGGGTGCAGATGAGTCAGCCAGCATCCATGCTGAGCTACCTACTGGAAGTTGGAAATAGCTGAGTTTTTACCTGGCTTTCCCTCAGTGGAGGCAGTAATCTGAGTCATTTCACTCTTTACAGTGCCCTGTTTTTATTTATCCCGTAGGAATGCAATTAAGTTTTACGCTTCTGCTTCTCTTCTGTATAGCTACTGGTTGTAGGTAGAACATGGTTGAAAAGCACCAATGTATTGAAAAGTCATGTTCAAAAGTTAGGATCCAGGCAAAAATGGACAGACAGACCACACTCGTGAGACTCAGCAACCTTTAGGAAACCAGACCAATTGTGCTTTTTCATGTAAGGACCAAAAAGTGGCAACTTTAAGTGACCTGAAAGTCACCAATGGGTCTGCATTACCCACCCAGCTGAGACCTGTGAATCTGTCTGCTATGGAAAATGGCACTTTGCTAATTGCGCTCACAGGGAACCAACATAGAAAGTGCTCCTTTCCCTTTCCAAAGTTTATGTTGTCTGGATGTGACAAATGGAGCAATTTGGGCACCTAAACAAGGTGACAAGTCCCATTTTAAATGCTTTCAGCTTCTGCTGCTCAGAAAGGCATGGGTCTCCTGCAGATACTGTGTTTTATCTCCCTATGTGCCGTGGCCACCAAAACCTCATTCATTTCCTATGAGTGGATGTCTGAATCTCTCTCAGGATGTCAGAGAATTTCTAAATCCATGGTTGGAGGGGACAGATAAGTGAGGAAAGTAGACGATTGCTGGTCTAGAGAAGTGTCCTGGTTCTATACAGGCATGAAAGCCCAGGGAAGTAGGAGGGACAAGTCTGCTGACTCATCTCATGCAAGATTCCACAAAGGCTGCAGGAACTGTGCTGTCTGTGCCTTATGGTCACATGTGAAAAGCCCCACCTAGATGGGGTTATGCACCACACAAAGAGCTAATACTTTAAATGAGAAAGACGAAAAGCAGTATTATTCCCATCTGTAGTTGGGAAATGCAGAAAGAATGTAGAATTGCTAGAAGTCCGTGGCAGAGCCAGAAACTGAACCCAGAAGTCTTGATTCTGAGCTCAAAACATTGCTGAAAAGACCATTTTTCTCCCTTGGCAGCAACGGTGTCAGTAGCATTAACCAACTACTGGCCGCTGTCATTGGGAAAGCTGCACTCTGTTCTCATATCCTTCATTCCAATTACATGGAAACCTCAGTTGTGCAGAAAGAAAGAGCCTATGATTAATCTTTAAAAGCCAAGCAATTCAAGGCTATGTATGTGGTTAAGCTCTCTGGTTTACATTGTAATGGCAGTTAAAGCCAGGACAAAGATAACCGCTTTCTTTTTCTTGAGTTTAGAATATGAGCACTGCTATCCAGTGAAACAGCCTGATTACAAGCTAGCTAAAGATCCAGCATCAAAAAAAGAGGAGCCTGTGTGTGACATGGAAAAGTAAGTGGCAACATCACTTTAAAAGCTGTATAATGGACCAACAACTCTTATCATTTCGAGTCATCTTCACCATATAGACATAGTTCGTGTTTATAAGAGATAACAATATCACTTTTTAGCTAACTAAGCACTCTGATTCAAACATAGCTTGTTGCTTCTGTTGCCAAATTCAAAGGGTGAATTTGTTTTAGCATAATTTTTGACGCTTTTCACCTTTGCCTGCATGGAACGCCAGCTTTGACCTGGAGTTTACTTGCTAGGATATACATAAACCACATTTCACGATTCAGTATAGAGATACCCACCCTGGCTTTAAAGCAGCTAGTTCAGGTTTTGGGGAAGATGTGTGGACTTTCACAAGACATCTGGAGATTACAGTGACTCACAGGCCTAAGCTCTGGGGTGTATGCAGTCATACTAAAAGACATCTGAAGGTTTTGAAAGCAGAGCAGAGTCATCCCAGGCGCAAGAGATTTTGCAGAGACACACCAGTTGACCGTACCAGTCTTGGTTATTGGTTTAGCAGAAATGCAGGTATTTAAACATTGGCTTTTGTATACAAAGATACCTTCAAAGTATTGGTTTGGTTATTGATCAATTAGTAATAAATTTGAAGAGGAATGGTAATTTTACATATCTATGGACAAATTATAAGGTGCCAAAATAAATAAATACTACGATGAGAACATAACAATAGCTTCCCTGGCCCGACCAAAGATCTACCTCACCTCATATCCTGTTTCTGACCCTGGCCAAATGTGAATGCCTAAGGTAGAGCACAAGAGTAGAGCAACAATGTATGTCCCTCCTCCCTCATAGTCTCATAGCTTGCACTATCAGTTGCACCTCATGGACTTTTCACCAGAGGTAGTTTCTGTAGTGTGAGGAAACATCAGTGAATTTCTCTTCTGTAGCTGCCCAGTCTTCCCTTGAGCCCATATAAAATTTTGTATCCACAATGTTCTGCGTCAAGATTCCACAGCTTAACTACGTGTTGTAAGAAGAAGCATTTCCTTTTCTTTATTTTCAGTCTGTCACAAACCAGCATGGTTTGATGATGAATAATGTGATATTAATGTGGAAAAGCTGGTTTTAATTTGCTTTGCCCCAAAATAGCTGTTGAACAGATACAAGGTGCTAAGAAACCCAGTTATTTTGTCAGGCTCGAGAATGCCTTTTCTATGTTCTTTCCTAGAATACTCCTCCCTTTCTCAGCCCTTCCTCAGGGTCTGGGTATTTGATATTTCTCTGTAGCTGAATTCTGTGAGCCCTAAGAAAAGCTCGTTCACTAACTGCTAATTCATATAGAAAGTCTTAGAGGTGCCTGGGTTGATGTCATTCCACTGCCATGGCTGAAGTCTTCCCAGCTGGACCCATAACTAACTTTGCTTTATAGAGAGACTTTCTGCAAGCAAATGGGTGGAGTACTATGGCTCCCTTCCCCCACTCTTGAAAAAGAAAAAAACCCACACAACACTCAATAGATGCATTGGAGCTTCCCATTTGAAATACTATACTCAAGTGCTCACTACTTAAAAAGGCGGTCTTGGAAGCCAAGATTTTCATCATTTATAATGAACCACTTGTTGCTCATAATGAACTAACTACACTTCAGTAGAACTGGAAGAAGGCCAAGCCGAGGAACTTGATGAAAATGGTAGAGCAGTGGTCCTAGTAGGCAGCATTGTCATTTACAGTCGTGCATTTAAGCGCTATTTACTAACTCGTTCTCGACCATTTAAGCAAGGCCAACGTCAAGCATGGGCAACATCAGCAGTTGCCATGGCCCAGTACAGGTTGCTGGCAAGGAGGGAACACAGGGGTTCTTCTTGCCAGATGATGGGGATAGAAACGTGTAAATAGCTGCAAAGATACCTTTGCAGGGTGAGAGAAGAGGAGAGAGAATACAGCCTCCAGAGGAATGAGGAAGGGCCCTGAGAAGCCTACAAGCTGGAGGCAAGAAAAAAAACCCTCAACATCTTACTCACACTTTCTGCCACGCTGTTCTCCACTCTTCCTCCAAACCCTAAGCTGCTCTGCCCTCTCCTTTCCTTCACTCCTTTCCCATACAAATTTTGGTTTGTCTTACAGCAGTTAGAAGCCTTGAGTCAGGTCTGTCTTTATGGTAGGATGAATTGCTTCAGAGAAGACAGAAGATGGAAACTAGAAAGTGTGACAGAGATCCCCAGCTCCATGAAAATGCTGAAATTCTTCCTCAGTTTCTGGTAAACCCAGCTGATAACTGTGAGGATTCTCTGTTTGGTGGCATTCCAGCTGCCAGGCATATGTACACAATTAAAAGTATTTTCAGTTCTTCTCACTTCTTGCCTCCAAGATCAAATCTTTCTGCATTCACAGGACAAAACCTACCTATGTCCTTACTTTTCAGGACATCCTTCAAATATTTTTTCAGTATAACCAATCTTACTCCAGCAGAAGGCATCTCAAATGCTCAGTGGAAGGCTTGTAGTCAAGGAGAATGAGAATATGTTTCTCTTCAGACTACCCCAGAGTGAATTTACACGTCGGTGTAGCTCAGACAGAAGAAAAGTTGTGTCCAGCTAGCTGGCAGTGTTTTATTTCGGTCTGTTCAGTGCAACCCCTTGAGTGCTCTGGGGTTTCCTTCTTATTATAGGAAAGTCAGCACATTTCAAACTAAGCTTACATAATTTTAAATGCAATTTTCAGATCATAAACTATTAGAGGCTGCTACACTAACCAGCTCCTTTAACTGCTTTTGGCCTTGTTTTTGAAATGGCCTGAAAGTTGGAATTCACAGTTCTACTCTGACAAAGCAAAAGAACAAATTTTGGAAATATCACGCTGCCTGGAAGAAACCATTACCCTAACCTTATCCGCCACTGCCCCCTTCACT